AGTTACTTTCATTAAAATCTTTATCACCCAACATCTATTCACTCATTCTTCCCCTTTTTTCATGTATTTCATACGCCCCTATCACAAAATATCCTTTGAGTTTTCCCTCTTTTTTCATTCCGGCAAATACAAAACGCCCTTGGCCAGAGTCATAAAAAATCCCTACATATGTTTCACAGCAGAGGAACGAAGGGACAGTCTTTATATAGACACAAGCAGATGAACAAACAGAGACAAAAGGGGGTGTAACAGAGAGAGAAATTGACACACGCAAATAGGAGTTGGGGTCGGGATAGAGAAACAGAGAGAGAGATAAAGAAACAAAGAGAGATATAGAGAGAATGATAGATGTATAGACGGATTGGGGAGATACGGAAGACACATAGTTAAGAGATGTACATAAATATACACAAACGCACAAATACACACGCTTGCACACACACACACACAGTATGTATGTGTAAAAACATACATACAGTACCTGTATATATATATATATATATATATATATATATATATATATATATATATATATATATATATATATATATATATATTCATTATATATATATATATATATATATATATATATATATATATATATATATATATATATATATATATATATATATTTTTTTTTTTTTTTTTTTTTTTTTTTTTTATGTATACACACACACACACACACACACACACACACACACACACACACACACACACACACACACACACACACACACATATATATATATATATATATATATATATATATATACATATATATATATATATATATATATATATATATATATATATATATATATATATATATGTATATATATGTGTATGTATATATGTGTATGTATATATATATATATATATATATATATATATATATATATATATATATATATATATATATATATATATATATATAGACAGAGAGAGGGAAGGTTGAGGAAATGGGGGGAGGGGTCAGTATGTCTTCGAAATATATAATACTGGCTTGTCATTAGATCAGTTCCGCCCTTATGTTGTATTCTGAAAACTTCCTCGTCCTGTCACTCAATGTTTAGGGGGATATTAATGATAGCACAAATGATAACATTAAAATTAATAATGATAATAATAATATCATTTGTAATAATTATTGAAAGAATGCTAATGATGATAAAGATGATGATAATTATAATCATGATAATGATAGCAGTAACAATAAATTTAGTATGATAATAATACAGATAAAAATGATTATGACAAACAGACAGACAGAAACAGATACAGAAAAACGGAAAAATAGAAAAAATAACAATAAATTGATGAAGTAATAAGGAATTAATAAACGATAATGACCAGAATAAGACTATAACAGTGATGATAAAATCAGTGATTCTAATACTATTACAAATAGCAAAGATAATAATGATAATGGTTATGCTAAAGATAATGATAATACTTACATTTACAATAAGTAGATGTACACATTTAGAAAACACACACACACACACACACACACACACACACACACACACACACACACACACACACACACACACACACACACACACACACACACACACACACACACACTGATAACCCCCACCCCATCCCCACACATACGATCACATACCCCCCTCCCCTGTTCCCAACACAAACACCCTACCCACCCAAACAGCGGACCTCCGAACACACACACACAAACACACGCACACACACACACACACACACACTTTACACAGACAGTCAATGGCTTACCCGCGGTCCTCAACGGCGCACCAAGCAAAGGGTTATTCTACAATTACCTTCCACCGTTTCTCATTGTGATTGGCTAACTTTCCGTCGTGGTCATGGCCGTTTTGCCTGGCCTTCGTGTCTCCCCTCTACCGCACGGGTGGGAGGGAAGGGGGGGAGGAAGGGAGAAGGGGAAAGGAGAAGAGGAAGATAGGGAGGGAAGTGAGGGAGGAAGATAGGGAGGGAAAGGAGAGAGGAAGGGAGAGAGGAAGATATGGAAAGAAGGGAGAGAGGAAGCCGGGGAGGGAAGGGAGAAGAGGAAGATAGGAAGGGAAGTGAGGGAGGAAGATAGGGAGGGAAAGGAGAGAGGAAGGGAGAGAAAAAGACAGGGAGGGAAGGGAGGAAGATAGGGAGGGAAAGGAGAGAGGAAGGGAGAGAAAAAGACAGGGAGGGAAGGGAGGAAGATAGGGAGGTAAAGGGGAAGGGGAAGAGGGAAGGCAGGGAGGGAAGGGAGAAGGGGAAGGGAGAGAGGAAGACAGGGAGGGAAAGGAGAGAGGAAGACAGGGGAGGAAGATAGGGAGGAAAGGGAGGGAGAAAGACAGGGACGGAAGGGGGAAGGGGAAAGGAGAGAGGAAGATAGGGAGGCAAAGGGGAAGGGGAAGGGAGAGAGGAAGACATGAAGGGAAGGGAGGGAGAAAGACAGGGAGGGAAAGGGAAGGGGAGGGAGAGAGGAAGATAGGGAGGTAAAGGGGAAAGGGAGAGAGGAAGACAG